CTAACAGCATAACTAACAGCATAACTAACAGCATAACTAACAGCATAACTAACAGCATAACTAACAGCATAACTAACAGCATAACTAACTTCTTAACTAACAGCATAACTAACTTCATACCTAACTTCATAACTAACAGCATAACTAACAGCATAACTAACAGCATAACTAACAGCATAACTAACTTCTTAACTAACAGCATAACTAACTTCATACCTAACAGCATAACTAACTTCATAACTAACAACAGCATAACTAACTTCATACCTAACAGCATAACTAACTTCATACCTAACAGCATAACTAACAGCATAACTAATAGCATAACTAACAGCATAACTAACTTCATAACTAACTTCATACCTAACAGCATAACTAACTTCTTAACTAACAGCATAACTAACTTCATACCTAACAGCATAACTAACTTCATAACTAACAGCATAACTAACTTCATACCTAACAGCATAACTAACTTCATACCTAACAGCATAACTAACTTCATACCTAACAGCATAACTTACTTCATACCTAACAGCATAACTAACTTCATACCTAACAGCATAACTAACTTCATAACTAACAGCATAACTAACTTCATAACTAACAGCATAACTAACTTCATACCTAACAGCATAACTAACAGCATAACTAACTTCATACCTAACAGCATAACTAACTTACCTAACAGTATAACTAACTTCATAACTAACAGCATAACTAACAGCATAACTAACAGCATAACTAACTTCATACCTAACTTCATACCTAACAGCATAACTAACAGCATAACTAATAGCATAACTAACAGCATAACTAACAGCATAACTAACAGCATAACTAACAGCATAACTAACTTCTTAACTAACAGCATAACTAACTTCATACCTAACAGCATAACTAACTTCATAACTAACAACAGCATAACTAACTTCATACCTAACAGCATAACTAACAGCATAACTAACAGCATAACTAACAGCATAACTAACAGCATAACTAACTTCTTAACTAACAGCATAACTAACTTCATAACTAACAGCATAACTAACTACATATCTAACAGCATAACTAACTTCATAACTAACAACAGCATAACTAACTTCATACCTAACAGCATAACTAACTTCATAACTAACAACAGCATAACTAACAGCATAACTAACTTCTTAACTAACAGCATAACTAACTTCATAACTAACAGCATAACTAACTACATATCTAACAGCATAACTAACTTCATACCTAACAGCATAACTAACTTCATACCTAACAGCATAACTAACAGCATAACTAATAGCATAACTAACAGCATAACTAACTTCATAACTAACTTCATACCTAACAGCATAACTAACTTCTTAACTAACAGCATAACTAACTTCATACCTAACAGCATAACTAACTTCATAACTAACAACAGCATAACTAACTTCATACCTAACAGCATAACTAACAGCATAACTAACTTCATACCTAACAGCATAACTAACTTCATACCTAACAGCATAACTTACTTCATACCTAACAGCATAACTAACTTCATACCTAACAGCATAACTAACTTCATAACTAACAGCATAACTAACTTCATACCTAACTTCATACCTAACAGCATAACTAACTTCATACCTAACAGCATAACTAACTTCATACCTAACAGCATAACTAACTTCATACCTAACAGCATAACTAACTTCATACCTAACAGCATAACTAACTTCATACCTAACTTCATACCTAACAGCATAACTAACTTCATACCTAACAGCATAACTAACTTCATACCTAACAGCATAACTAACTTCATACCTAACAGCATAACTAACTTCATACCTAACAGCATAACTAACAGCATAACTAACTTCATACCTAACTTCATACCTAACAGCATAACTAATAGCATAACTAACAGCATAACTAACAGCATAACTAACTTCATAACTAACAGCATAACTAACTTCATACCTAACAGCATAACTAACTTCTTAACTAACAACAGCATAACTAACTTCATACCTAACACCATAACTAACAGCATAACTAACTTCATACCTAACAGCATAACTAACTTCATACCTAACAGCATAACTAACTTCATACCTAACAGCATAACTAACTTCATACCTAACAGCATAACTAACAGCATAACTAACTTCATACCTACAGCATAACTAACAGCATAACTAACAGCATAACTAACTTCATAACTAACAACAGCATAACTAACTTCATACCTAACACCATAACTAACAGCATAACTAACTTCATACCTAACAGCATAACTAACTTCATACCTAACAGCATAACTAACTTCATACCTAACAGCATAACTAACTTCATACCTAACAGCATAACTAACAGCATAACTAACTTCATACCTACAGCATAACTAACAGCATAACTAACAGCATAACTAACTTCATACCTAACAGCATAACTAACTTCATACCTAACAGCATAACTCACAGCATAACTAACTTCATACCTAACAGCATAA